TAAAAGTTTCTAATTTAATAATTTTCTTAAAAATGTTAAATTTTCTAAATACATATGGAAATTATAAATATAGTTAAAATTTTTCAATAATTTTCCAATTTAATATTTAACAACTACCAAAAACTATATAAATGAAAATATATCAATAAATATTTTTTATTAGCAAAATTAAATTTCAAAATCAATAATTTTCTGATATTACCTAAAGTTTTCTGAAAATTAAATTTTGAAATTTTAAAAATAAATAATTGCCTTTAAATTACTGAAATTTTCATGTAATAGTTATCAATTTCAGATAATACCATATATAATTAATTTCATATAATAATAAATTAAAATTTAAAAATTAAATTCTGATTATTCAATAATTATTGATATGAATAAATTAATTTTCAAACATTTATCTATTTTATGAATAATTAATTACTAAAATATCAAAAGAAATTTATATTTTCATTATTTTAATTATCTTATTACGTTTAATGTTTGGGAAGTTTCTAGATTTGTTACAACATTGAAATGGGAGGTAGGGTGACATGACCAGAGGCTAAGAGCTAGATGATGTGGCAAAATGAGGGGCTTGGGTAGGGTGAAGGTAAACTCGTATTGAAATTGACTTATTATGTTTATTTTTCATTATTTTAAAATTTAATTTAAATAGAGTTTAAATAATTTTTACTTTTATTAAATTTTAATTTATTTAGTAAATTTGTATTGATGCATAATTTATTTAGTAAATTTGTATTGATGCATAATTTAAGTTATGATATTATGCTAAGTTTATTACTGTTTAAAATTTTTAATCTTGTTAGAATTTGTTATTATAAATTAAGTATAATATTACTGTAATTAATTTTACCAGTTATCATTATTAAAATTAAAAAAAATAGTAATTTATTATGAATTTTCTATTATGTTAATCATTTTTAAATTAAAATCATTACAATATAATATAAAATTATTATAATTAATTATTATATTTTCACTAACGTTATGAACAATATTATATATAATTATAGTAGTTTTTAATTATTACTTTTATTATTTACTTTATTCTTCTTTGTCTTTTAGATATTTTTTATTCATCTTATTAGCATTTTAGATAGAGAAAGAGAGATAGGAATTGGGAAAGAAGCGTTAGAATTAGGTTATTTATTGTGAAAATCTTTAGGAGATGTTTTAAGAGGAACTTTTAGGTGGAGGAGATGGTATAGGAGAACTTTTAGGAGTGGAGATGATTTAGGGGTGTTCTATAGCGTAGATGACAAATCGGGTAGTGTGTTTTCATCCACATCACGGGTGTAGTGTGGATGAAAACAAACCACACTCCAACAAGGTAGTTGTTCTACACCGTGGACAAAAATGTGTGGACTGATCCACACCACACCTCCATGCGCGTTCTGCAAGGTGTGGCATATTTCGATCTGCACATTGCATTTGATTCCATCCATCTCAACTACAACATTTGAGATAATCTATGTCGTTAATCATTAAAAAACAATATATTATAATATACACAATAGAAAAATATTAGTAAATTGCTAAGGATTTTAATAGTTAATAAAAATAATATTAAATAACAAATAATGATATTAATATTAAATAAAATTAGTAATATTAATGATAATTGATAATATTAACAACAATTTTAATAATATTTAATAATAATTAATAATATCAACAACAATTAATATTAATAAAAGTAATATATGAAACTTAATAATTAATAAAATAATATTAATATTAATTCATAAACATGAGTAGCAGTGGTGAGTGGTTCAAATAGAGAAGAGTAATATAGTATGAGAATAAACAAAGGATGAATACTTACTAGTTACCATCGACGATCTGATGAAGTAGTGGTCAGAGGAGGAGTCACGAGTAGTTCAAACTAGGTTTGTCAGTAATACCCAAAATCCAAGGCTTGATCTAACATCCGGTCCGATTATCTCATATTCAAATGATGTATTTATATAATCGGATTCGGATGTTGCAATCTACATCCGATTAATAATCGGATTGGATTCAGATTTGACCCATCCGATCTAATTAAAATATGAAATCAATTATTATAATATTTATTAATTTTAATATATAAGTTTTATATAATTGTATTTAAAATTATAAAAATATATTCTATATATTATATTATATATGAATTTGTATATAATAATTTAGTATGTTATATTTATATTAATTTAGTATATATAAAAGTTGAAAAATAGATAAATTTTATTTTTTTGGTATTTTAGAAAAATTATAGCGGTCTAATTAAATTTGGATCCGATCCGAGTCCGTTAGGATTTGAATTCGAATCCAAGCCAATTGGATTCAAATGTAGGTTATCAATAATCGGATTGAATGTGGGTTTTGTTGCATCCGATCTGAGTTCGATCCGATTACAGCCATAGCTCAAATAAAGAAGAATAGCAATGACAAGTAGACAAGAATAGGGGTCCTCACGGTTCGGTTAATCGTACCATGGGGCTTTTTCTTGGACCGAACCGGTACTACCAATTTTTGGAAAATCGATAACCGAAACTAGTCGGTCAACCGGTTGATCGGTTCGATTCGTCGGTTTTTTGGTTTTTTAATTTTTATAATATATACAAATATATAATAAAAAAAATTATAAATATATATAAAATATTATATTTTCATTAATAAATACTATGTCATATTATATATAATGCATATTTATTAATTTATAATATATATAAAATATATAGAAATATATGTATATCGATCGGTTTGGTTAACCGCCGGTTTTCTATATTGGTTAACCGAAACCGAACTAGTACCTTCAGTTTTTTAAAAACATCGAACCGATCGGTTTGGTTAACCGATTTTTCGGTTTGGTTTTTCGATTTTTTTTTTCGCCCACCCCTAGAGAATAATAGAAACGGCGAACTCACAAAGAAGTGTTGCAATGGTAAAAAGAAAAGATGTCTAATACTAGGGTTAAACATCCATGCGAAGTATGGGATCGTTATTCCATATGTAAAACGGTGTGGCACAGATGCTTCCACKAGATAAACCCGTGGATGAGAAAATGAATGGTGGTGTGGACCAATCCACGAGATAGTGTGGATCAATCCACACTACAGCCAACCAAATGCATGGCATAAAAGTGGTGTGGATTGAAACTGAATATATCATGGCCAATCCACACCACCTTAGTTGATTGGAAATGTATGTAAGAGAGAGAGAGAGATTTTAAGAATAAGATGAGGGGATTATTTGGTTCAATGGGCAATTAGGTGGAACTAAAAGAATTTCAAAACAAATAATGATGAAATAAAAGAAATTCAAATATAATTACACCCATGATAATAGAATATCAAAAATGCTAGATTTTGACCACTGCCCCTAATCCTTTTGTAGAGTCAAGGGTGACTCAACCTAACAGTGGAATTAGTGACTAACAGTGGAGGATAAGGAGGCCAGGAAGGCAATGCGTGATGGTAAACAAAGGAAAATCTGTCCATTTGAAATTTCATCTTAGGCTTTAAAAAATCATGGACATTGGGCAACCTTCTTCAATATCCTTAGAAGCACGAATTGTTGATTGATTGGGGATTCCACTGCCATTTCCCAAAAGCTCGCTACATGCGTCAAATACCTGAACCAAATCTAAACTTGGGTCAGGTTCACTTTACCCAAACCCGACAAAAAACCTGATTAAGGCTGACCTGAACCCAACCCAATAGGGTCGGCTCAAGACAGATTCACTTAACCCGAGACTATTAGAAGGCAGAACCATGAACTCAAGATAGAGGTCTGATGACTGGGTACAGTCTGAACGAAAGAAGAAATGAAAATGTGAAAGAGACCAGCCGGGGTCAGGAAAACTTGGGCAGTAGAATATGGTCCCATACATGTTAATACTTAGGTATAAGGTTTCATTCAAATTTTATTAGATATAAATAATTTTACAAGTAAAAAAGAAAGCACTCTTATTCAATAAAACGGTGGGACCTTATTATCAGACTAAACCACATATATGCAGTCTGTGGGCCCAGTTCTTACTCAAGATAATCCCTGTGCCATAACCCATCTCTCTCTGCTAGTGCTAGGTAATGTCTCTTTCTCTAATCTATTTGCTGAGCCACTTTGAGTTGGGAGGGAGGGTCATTTGTTTCAGTGGCAGAGAGTCAGGAGTGAAACCCAAGGTCCAAAACCCAATTACAGACTCAAACCGACCTTTCTTGGGTGATTTCTGTATGACAAGTGATGACTCAAGAGTTCTCACTCTGTGTTGGGATGTTTGGTACTGCTGTCGGTCATGCAGAATCAATCAAGAGAACTCCTGCGGSATTTACCAAGTACGCTTTTAACAGCGTAGAGCTTGGATTATGTATCTATKTAGGATTCCTGTCCTTTCAAATCTGCCACGCTGAAAGAAACTTTTCACTGAATTTTAGCTCCTTTGCCACCGATTGGCCTTGTGAATTCTGAGTAGTAATAGTCCAGACTCCAGTACAAGTGAATGATGCCTTACTGTCTAAACCCATCATTGATGGCAACTTGATACCCCTAGCAAACAAGACAACCTTGTTGCCAACAACGCTACAGTTGAGATACCCATACACATGATTGTACTCTGGATTTTAGATTTCCTGCCCAAGATTCTGAGTTCAGGAGGAAAATCCTCTTTTTCATGGTGAACTATGAAAATTAAACCCACACCACCTGTATAAGCAAATTTTCTAAAACATGAGACGTGGCTTTATTATCCACCGTCAAAAAGAGCATTTCCTCCCTTAAAATAGGTACAAGATTTTTATTATAGGATTTCTGGTTCAAGAAATCCACTACAACAGTTAACAAGTAAACGATCCTCGAGGACTGGACAAGCAGTTGCAGACTAACGGATAAGTATCATCAGCCCCTGCAGGCTCAGCACAGCAACACAATGCATTCATTACCTGGGTGCTTTTGCTAAAGGACCATGGTTCACAAGATTCGTTCACACAGCAGAAACAGGTGGGTCATCTACATCTATTCTCATAACACACACAGAGAGAATTGGTTACATCTTCAAGAAACTTTTAAGTTACAGGACTTTCTATTTCCATCTCCTTTACAAGGTCGAAAGAGTAAAACAAAAGAAACAAGGAAGGAATTCAAAATCACACAAGAATGACCCAAAGAAAGAGATGGAAATTCACAGTTTGGAACTAAATCAAAGGTACAAACAATGAAATGAACTGAATGAGCCCCCCCGCCCAAAAAAAAAAAAAAAAAAGGAAAAACAAGGCATGGAAAACAAAATAGACAATAAGTTACTCTACAGACAACTTTTTATTATGTTTACCATGCCTGTCCTTCACCTTCTCTACCTTGTTATTTCCACCTTTGCTCTGGTTGCTGACAGACCCCTCTTGAGCACTGCACATCTGTGACTTGATCTTCAACCCAAATTTCTTTGACATGTTGCCCCACGTGCCAGAATTCTTCCCCCGACCAAGTTTCTCAATCTCCTGCCTCATGCTTGAACATTCCTTCTCGAGTTCAGATACTCGCATCCTCATGTTATCCATTCCAACCTTCAACACCTGGTTCTCCCTCACAGCTGTGGTCCAGCCGCCTTCATTTGACCCTGCAAACCCACTCCTCAACTGTCTTGATCCATCAAGGTTGTCAGAGACAAGAAAGCAGCCTGCAATCGAAGTCCTCAGCTGGAGCTGCTCAAAAAAGAGAACTTGGACCACAACTCTTAGGGGTAGCCTCTCATTCTGTGCAGCATGGGTGCAAGCTTCCAAGGAAAGCTTCTGGCAGTCCATTAGCCTGCAGAGCTGTTCCCTTTCAGAATCTGTGAGCCATGGGTGTGCCTGTAGGTTCATGATTATAAAAAAGAACAATGAAACAAACTCATTTCAGGATTCCACTAAGATTCAACTTAACCAGGTTTAAAGTAATTGATTTAAATTCTGAATTGATAATTCATGACAAGCCCTGATGATGATGCATTTGAAAATTCATTCCACATTCTATAACAGACAGTAGGACAAGTTCTGGTTTACTATGCTATTTCTTTCAGTCCCACATGTAATCCATGTGATTAAGGGTAGTTTGCACCTCAACTAGTGCCACTCCTTTAACAGTCTGAAAGAAAAACAAACATAGTTATATACATGTTTCCTGCAGCACGAAGCAGTGGTACAGTTACNATTCTATAACAGACAGTAGGACAAGTTCTGGTTTACTATGCTATTTCTTTCAGTCCCACATGTAATCCATGTGATTAAGGGTAGTTTTTTTTTTTTTTTTTTTTTGATAACTTGTGATTAAGGGTAGTTGGCACCTCAACTAGTGCCACTCCTTTAACAGTCTGAAAGAAAAACAAACATAGTTATATACATGTTTCCTGCAGCACGAAGCAGTGGTACAGTTACCCCACCACTAGAACTCAGAAGATCATTCAGTATCTAAAGTAACTGCATTGTATCTATTTTTTTTTTATTGATCAATGCATTGTATCTATTATATACATACTCCCAAGATTAGATAGAACCAGGATCTGTGCAGCACTATTTTGGGCTCCATCCATATACTGAAGCCAGAGTGAAGAAAGTGTTACAACTTATAGGCTCCACATAAAAGATCCAGGTCAATACAAGAACCACTACGTATGACAAGACAGATCTGTAGAAGTACCTTCAGATATATGTCAATTGCACGATAAAGCCCATCATCCAATGGCCTTGCATACTCAGGGACTGCAGCAGCAAGTGACTGAAATTTTGGGGGCTTTAAATTAATATCAGGGGCGACCTCTGCAAGATATCCATCAATCAGCTTGGCCACCATGGTTATTGGTGTCAGAGAAGGTGAGCCTATCAACTGGCCTTCATCTGAGCATGGGGAGGCTCCACCTGTTGCCTGATCCATGGCCAAGAAGTGCTCTAGAATGCGGTGTACACAATCAACATTGTAGAGTGTTTCCATGGAATAAGAGAAGTTGGGCATCAAGAGGTCTTCTAAGGTAGCTTGATCCAATTGCATACCAATCCTGTTCTCCAAGTTTGATATGCAAGATGGGCTTGCCCGAAGGATCAAAGCAGTACGAAGTAGGCCAAAAAGGAACTTGGTCGAGGTTAGCCCCTTCTGCATTGGCAGTAATCGATCAATTTCTTCAAGTAGAACCTTCTGGTCTTCTTCAGATGGTGGGGACTCCAAAGGTACAGGTGCAAGACAGGTACTAGACTCACTAACACCCTGACGCCTGTTCAGCCCTGGCAGGTACCTTTTTCCATATAAAGTGAGGGATCCAGCAATAGTCTCCTGTCTGATGCCTCGAGATTCCATAACTGAGATGAGCCTCTTATAGAGGGGCAGACTTAAAGTTGATACATCCTCATACCACCAATCTGAACTTGAGTTCCTTGGCCTGGCTCCTGTGCTAATTCCATTCCATAAGACAGTTCCACCAGGGCTCTGCATGGGTCCACCATGCTCCATCATAGGCCAACCAAACAGATTAGGGTCTGTGCAAGCCTTTACAGCCAATGACTCAATGCACCTCTTAACAATGTGAAGGTCTTCAGCCTGGGGGAGGACATCCTCACAGGTTTGGAGGGCCTTCAGAGAGTCTTTCCAGTTACGAAGGACAACTTGATTGAGAAAGACCTCAGCCTGTGCAATAAGATTTCCCTCCCCATATTCCTCGGTCATCTCAAGATGCTCAGCAGCACATCGGAGGTACACAATGTTTGAAGCAGTGAGTTCAAGTTTTACCCCATAGCAGAACTTGGCAACAAGTTCAAATGTTTTGGTCCCACCAGGGATGTCAGGCAGATTTATGACACAACCCTCCTCTCCTTTTGATTTTTTCGCAATCAATCTTTCCAGAACCCCACTCCGAGAAAGCAATGGGAACTGCAGGAAAGGAATATTGAAAGTGTTAAAGACAATTACAGAACTAGTTAGAATAGTCTGATCACTACAATAATAGTTTTTTTTTTATCAGCAATCCACTATTATAAATAGTTCTCCCAAAAACTTGTTGAAAACTATAAAACATAATAGTTTAACTAGTTAAAGTAGTTTTATCCACTAGAATTATGGTTTTCCATAGATAGGGATGCAAATGTACCCCTTTGTCCATATCTGAATTCCAATCCAATCCAATTAAGGCAATATGAATTCAATTCATTTAAAATTGGATCAAATATAGATACACATTCCAATATGATATGGTTCAATTTCGTTAAAGAATATTTAAATAGTTAGATTTATCGGTATACAATTAATATGTATTTATTAGTAAAGTCGGTTTGAATGTTGTCTACTAAAGAGTCATGGGTTCAAGTCTCAAAAAGTTCTTTCCTTTCATTTTGTTCATAGTATGCAATATTCGTTTTGGTTTATATTAATAGGGGCTATTGCTTGGTGTAATGGTAAAATCTTGGACTGACATGAGCAGCCATTTTGTGCAAAAAGTTTCCAAATGTTAGGTTGTATCCAGACCACTCCTCCCAAAATCCCAGATAACTGGAACCAACAGTGAGTAATGGCCTTGTTTTATTAATAAGAGAACATTTTGATCATTGTAAGTTTAATGTAATGGTATTTAACATCCCAATTCAATCTCAGCCCAATCTAAATCTGGGATAAGATTCAATTAGAGTTCAAATATTAATGAATCAATGGGTCAACCATGACGTCATAATTAAATAATAAACATATAAATAATAGAAAATGCAAAAATTACAAAAAAATTATAAAAATTGAGCATATCTCTAAGAAAATAAATTTATTATATTGAACAAAAAGAAGCGTGGCAAATAACTATTTTTATTAATGATAAAATATGAAAAAAAGAGAAATAGAGAACTAATATTTTACCGATGACCCAACAGGACGGGTCACTGGGTTGTCAGTCAGGTCAACAGTTTTTTTTTTTTTTTTTTCAGGCAATCAGTTTGGATGAAATGGACCTACATTTCTGTCCAGGTGACAGGTCAATCAGTACTAACAGGTTTAACCGCAGGTTGAAACACATGTTTGTATGTTCCTGGGTACTTACTGCTCCGGTGGGCTGACATAAGGTTTAGATACGCTTTCAACTGAAGCTATGTACCACTTAAACGTGTATACAGACAACCAAGCTGAATCTGATCACTCATATTCACATGTTGTACAAAGTACCCCTCTGTTCCCACTTCCCACTGCCAATGCGGCAATGCCATTAAAAATTCTAGGTGAAACTCATAATTTAAATTTTGAATTAGTGCTTAAAAAAACAAATATTTAGGGAAGTAATTTGGGAAGATGCCATTTTTATGAAGGGGGGAAATCCCTAATCATAAGACAAAGACAAGAAGTACAACACTGAAAAGGCAAAAAAAGGAAAAGTAGTCTGACCACCACCACAACAAGAAAAAGCATGATGCATTTTGTACTAGCCTGGCTGTTCAGCTATGCAAGGATATCAACAATACAATTGCCAAGCACACCTTGAGAATTTCAACTTACGCATTAAACAAATTGGAAACATAACCTAACTAATAGGCATTTCAAGGGTCACCACCTTATTTAGTTATTCTGCGCTCCTTTTCTAAAATTAATTGATGTTTAGGATACTGCCACGTTCTTATCACGGGCCTAGGGACTGCAATATATGTGGTCAATTAGTTAGATTATCCAGACTAATGACCATAATCTAATGTAAAATGTGGGTACCAAGATATAAGTCTATACAATGAGAGAACTTCTTAATCCCTCTTCCAAAAATTGAAATATAAATTAAGTTTCATACGCTACCATCTATATTTCCATATGTAGGTCTGGTGATACATGTGCTACCACCTTGATGATAAGTTCTTGAAGATRGTATTTCATTTTATAGTAAAGCATGAAAACCCATGCTTCATACCATGTCTTTAGTCACATGACACAAGGGAGAAGGGCAGTAACCAAAAGCTTGGTCCAGCATGATGGCACTAGTCCGCTTATTCAATGGTACATGACACAAGACCTCCCCATACAGTCTAAGATATTGGTCCATCCAACATATAATCAACCAGTTGCATTATCACCCTCATCCCAAATCTTGGGACACCTACATTGTGGACTTTGCTACTAGTACAAATTGTGATGTTTTGCATCACAAATGAATCTCTCAACTCCTCCCCTCAATGGATAGACGTTGATCTATAAGTTTCACCCTCTGCAGCACAACATGCATAAACGTTTAAAGTAGGTAATAAAATAAATACATTAGTAAAATAAGAAAATAGCAATAAAAGTTATCTTTCTAACATTATAGGCCATTTTAATTTAGTGAAGTTTACCTTGTGGAGATGGAAGGTCATATCTCCAACTTCAACAACAACATCACTAGGAAGTCCAGTTGTACAGAACCTACAGACACATGCACATGAAGAGCATTATTCAGTATTGCCACCATCAGGAATAAGGAGGTGTGTTCTACAACCATGACCATATCTGGTGTAACCAAAGCAATTAGATCCATATATTGCAAGTTCATACATGCATGCACACATATCTTACAAGTTCATACGTAGTACATACATAGAAGAGTACAATACAATAGAACCCATTCCCAGGTCCAAGAATTCCCCATAGGCATCCTTGCCTTCATGCTCAAGATTTTGCTAGGCAGTCTGCTAAGACATTAGCAGACCTGGGAATCCACTTAAACTAGCAGTTTAAAGATCTTCCTATTGCTTTAGCTTCTCTAACCCTGGACAGAAACAGCCAAGGGGACTCCTCTGACACCAACCAATAAATAACAACCTGGAATCTCCTTCAATAGTCATATTTCTCCAATTCTGCTGTTCTATTAGTTTTAGACCTTGAATTACTTCCATCATCTCAGCTCTCAAAGAATTGCCAACTCCCATAGACTTAGAAAAACTCAGAAGAGTCCTACCACCCTCATCCCTAACAATCCCTCCCTTAATTTTTTCAATGAGTGTCCTGCCTATTGTTTCAACATGTCATAATTTTCTGTTCATTCTTCTTATCTTTTAATTGCTTTCTTATAATTTTACGGAGTGGTTGTCAACTTATAATTTTAGTTGCATTATACACCATCAGCAACAACATATTATCATAGGTAAATGTAATATGGTTTACATCAAGTCATATAAGTTAAGGTACTAATATTACTAATATAACCTTTTTTACTCTATAATATATGACTATTTATAAAATATGCATGTATATATGTATAAAGGCCATTAACCAATGTTGGTCCCAGCTATCTGGGGTCTTGGGAGGGGTGGACTGGATGTGATCCTAACCTTTGGCATTTTCTTTTCTGCATAAAGTGTCCACTTTCAGACTTGAACCCACATTCTCACACTTGATAGCCCAAGATTTCACTATTATACCAAGCAAATGGCTCCTATATGCATGTATTTATGTATATATACACAAAAACATATACAAACTTAACTAATTAGTTTGGAGTAAATGGATGTCAGTCTACCAAAGAGACAAAAGGACTGCTTCTATTGAAGTCCCCTCCCCCATTTTTTATGTTCTATCTTTCTGCTTGTTCTATTCTTTTAATTTGTATCATTTCATACTCATATTTTTCACTGTTTTTTAATGTTGCTTAACTCCCTATTTTTTGACTGAATTTTTCAACTTGAATTGCTGCCACAGTTGAACTATTTCACCCAAAATAATTCAGCTTCCTACTGACTATAGTTCTAGCAACTCCTTCCCATGTGAGAATTCTTCCACAGACACTACAGTGTGGACATCTTTTAGGAAGCTGGCTAAACCATTAGCGTGCCAGCACACAGGACTAAACCATTTTGCCCACCAAAATTAAATAAATTGAACCAAATAAATTGGAATGTTCTTTTTTTTTTTGTCTGTAACTTTATTTCATGGTGTTTCTCCCCAGACCCTGCAATTGTGGGAGCCTCGTACACTGGGCTGCCCTTTTTCTCTATAGAATATAAATAAATCACCGTTCATGCATGCAGATCAGGTTAAAGCGTCACTTGTATACTGGTTACAAAGAGCTATATTTTTTATACTAATACACAATAATGTCCTCATGGAATATCCAGTTAAATGATGAAAATCCAGATGCTAGATTGACCTTAAAAATGCCATGCCATAAGTTAAACTAGCTCAATCTGTCAAAAGTGTTTCTTGCGTTCTAGTATTGAAGTTTGGCATCACTAACTGGAAACCAGTTTGATCAACCTAACCATTGAAATAAGTAGATATGTCTGAATGGTCCAAAGTGCATATTATACATTTATTTCTGATGGTTAAGATTCTATCTATCATTCAGTGATTCAAAATGTGACACTCAACTAGAATTTGCACCAGATGGCATTTAGAAATACCATCTCTCTAATAAAAAATAAGACTGTTAGCAATCTACCACCACAACATCCATTACCTATGGAAAATTCCAAATTCAGTTCACAGTATATGTTTACCCAAACAAAGGAAGCATTGGTACACTGCCATCAGGCTGTACATTTTCAACCAAGCAATGGAGTGGGTGGAAATGCACATGATGCACCTCAACAAATACTTTTTTTTCTTGGTAACCTCGATAACCATCAAGCAGATTTAGAAAATAAACATAAACTAAAAACAAAAAACACGTTTCAGTTCTTCAATATAGAAAGGTATTAAAATCCAAAACCAAGATATACCTACAGTAAATTCAAATATTACTGTTAACCTCTTACCCCAACCCCACCCCCTCTAAACAGATCTAATCCCCTAGCTGAGACGAAAAATAGCAATTTAAAACCACAGACAAAACAAAACACATAAAGCACTAGATGCAAAGGGAACATACCAGGCTTGTCCTTGCCGTTGGAATGCATCAGTTTTGGATCCCAGCTTCATACAGGCCATTTCAGACGGAAAATAGGAAGAAATCTTTGCTCTGGAGTTCGAACCGAAGCAATTTCAAGCAATTACAGGTCAAACTAAAACCTCGACTCTTAAGAATCGGCTTTAGACAACCCCTCTAATTTTAGGATAATGAAGCATACAATCACACCCAAAGCATGAAACACCTAAAATTCACCCTCGGTTCAGGGCAGAGTGCACGAAGTCCTGTCCAGATTCACCCAGAAAAGCTTAAACTCATCCTGAGACCGATTCTTTAACCACACCCTGACAACCCACTCAAGTGCATTTTCACAATTTGTAGCCAAAAGAAAACTCAACCACCCTAAACTGCTACAAAGTATTACAGAAAGAGAGGGGAAAAAATCAGCAGAGACAAAACTTACAGACCAGTCGACCTAAAACCACCCAAATTTCCAAAAGTATCAAGCAGAAGCTTCGAATTCAGCCCCTAAAACTCCGAAAACAATCAAAATGCTCTTTCCTCCATAGAAGTTAAAACAACATCGTGATATTTCCATTACAGAAACCGCAAATGCAGCAACTCCACTTTGCAAACACAGCACCAAAACCACCCTAACCTACGAACATATTCAGCAAGAACCCAGAAAGTTATTGCGCGAAACCACCCCCAAGAGACCGAGAACCAACTTCTAATACTCCCTGCAAGACCACCAAATTAGCTCCTTCGACCTTCAAAAGTTGAACAGACCCTCTACAGCACAGCTCTCAAAACCACCATAACAGAGGGAAAGGAGGAAAACCAACTTAAAAACCACCAATACTAGTTCCTCTTCCGAAAAAAAAAAAAACACTAATCAATATCAAACAACCGCTTCAAGTCAACCCCTCGTCCCCTCCAACTTCAAACCACCACAAAAACCCAAAAAAACAAAACAATAAATGAAAACCCAGAAAATTCTGACACAAAATAAAAAAACTTAGTGCTCTAAACCCGCTCCCAAGATTCTAAAATTCAACCCCACGTAGAGTACAAACAACCTAAACTTCCTAAACCCATCAAAGAAAAAAACAAAACAGAAGAAAATCCCCACTTTCTGACTCCAAAACTGCTTGTTGGTTTCGGAACCATCATGTAACGTTTGAACATGCCATGAAGTGCGAAACCCATCTGTCAAAAAGACAGAAGGAAGCTTGAAAAACTCAACAAGACTATTCAATGGCAGCTCTGAGAAACAACCTTAAACAGCCGGTAGCCCGGTGGGATCTTGAGAAACATACTCGTTGATTTCTAGAACCCCAACTCGGAGAATCTTTTACCAAACAGTATATCCACGTCCCCAACAAGATAATCTAACTAAAGAAAAGCATTAAAGAACCAGTAATCAACTTGTCCAGCTAGACCATGTGGAGTTCTGGGGTCTAGTTTTGCATCTATAGCAAAAAAACCATTAAAATAACTCACCCTGAACTACAAAAAATGCGTTAATAATAAAAAATGCCAAACGGATTCTTTTCTTCCTTTCTTTTTTCGAGACCGGAGACAAGACTTTTCCTCTGGAAGAATAGAGGGACGTCCATGAAAAGGAAAAGAAAAAAAAAAAAAAAAAAATCAAGTAGGGGACCAGGGACCAGTCCCCTATGCCCAGGGAAAAATGACAATTATCTAATTCTCTGCCAGGAAAGCTGGCACCGTAAGGGCATTTTGGGAAATAAGGTATTTCTGTCTTTTACTCCAAATGACCATCACGTCCTTCGTCTTTTAGGTGTAGTATACCACGAGGTCCTCGTCTCGTCCACCCAACTGAGTCTGAAAATGACGTTTCTTACCCTTTGATTGACTCCCGCTTTTTACTAAATAGACCCATCGTTGAAGTAATGAAGTTTGTTTCTCTTCTGGTACACGTAGGACATATATTACCATTTGGAGGTCAAATAACGTTCCACGTGTTGTGATTTTGACCTATAAACAAATTGATCCAGTGGGATTGGTGTAGTAGCATTGTGTACAACATATAAAAAGTTCCACCGAATCGCAGTTCTTTGTCTATTGTATTGGGGTTAGTAGACTAGTAGTTGTTGAATGAGCTTGGAGGAGGTGTAGTGATCGTCAAAATTTTAGGACAGCGTATGTTTCGTATGTTTTCGGAGAATAAATTTTAATTAATTTGGGATGTTAGGAATTAGTGAATTATCTTTTAATTTGGATTTATGATAATCCTTCTCATCTATTATAAGAAATGATTCTTTGGAGTTAAAAAATTAAACTTTAGAATCAATTTTTGTCTGAATATCATTCTTCAAATATGATTCCTTAGAAACAGAATTTACTTCCAAGGGGTATTTACGGTTCGGTTTGGTTGGCCTATCTTTTAAACCGAACCGGGGTTACCGGCTTTTGGTTGATAATCGGTTGATAAGTTTGATGAATTGGGTTCGGTTTGTCGGTTTTTTAGTTTTTTTATATAAGATATATATTGTAATAAAATATATAAATATATATATAATATTATTTTAAATCATAAATAATATATCATATATTATAAATATATATTTATATATATAATACATATTTGTTAATTTATAATATATTAAATATATAATATACATAAATATATAAAAATATATGTATATCGATCAGTTCGGTTAACCATCAACTTTTTATATTGATTAACCGAAACTAAACCAATACCTTCGGTTTTTTAAAAATATCAAATCGACTGATTCAATTAACCAAATTTTCAATTTGATTTTAATTAATTTTTCGGTTCGATTTGATTTTTCTTGTCACACCCCTATTTCCAATTCTTTGAAAATTTAACAAACTTCCAACCTAATCTCAACCCAACATACAACCCTGTAAAACATATAATTAGAAGAAGAGTTGACTCTCATCAATATTGCCTTGAAGAGCATCAAACACCATCTTTATTAAAGCAGGCAGGGGGGGGAGAAAGCATACCTTTGAAGATACGCTATGATAGAAGGATGCCTAGCTGGTGCATCATGGGACCTCGCGAGCCTAATCGAGTTTGACTCACAGTCGATAATATTTGTATACATACATACATATAATATTTGTATTTATATATATATAATAATAATAACTAATTATTAAAATTATTAATTTTTTAATTATCAAATAAAAATAAATTTTTTATATATTATTTTTTACTTTTATAAAGCATTTGATTCACAGTCGAGTTTAAGTTTATGAGTTTTTGACTCGAGCTCAAGTCTTTAGATCGAACTCGAACCTCATACTGTCTTAGTGAAACAAGCTCAAATAGTTAGTTATTTGGATCGGCTCAACTCGAACCCACCTCTGATTGATACTAAAATATATGGAGGCGATGTGCGGCTGTAATGTCATGTAAAAAGTGATATGGGTAAGTAGATCCGGTTTCATGTGGAGGCACAAGACTAAACTCATGTGACTGCAGTGGACCAAATATACACTCTACTGTCCCACCACCCCTGAATCTTAGGGATGTAAATGGATTGGATCAGATTGAGTAATGGATTATCTAATTTCATTCAATATGACGAATCTGAATTTGATAAGAATCCATCGGATTTTTAAGATTATAATTTGATAAAAGTCCCCTATAATGTGTTATATATAATACACAAAAAAAAACCCTAGTATAAGTTAAGGGTCCCACGTTTAATTCCCTTGAGTTAGCTTGCCATATCAAGTTGAGAGTAAGCTTACTAAATAAAGAGTTTAAAACTGGTTGTATAAGAATTTTACATTCGACCAATAGAAAGAGTACTTATTAATCGAAGGATAAACGGAGGAATAAGTTTGCAAAAGTAGCATCAAATACAACCCATGAGAAAAAGTTAAGAGCTTGTATTTTTGTTCTCCTAGACAAGTTGCAACCAAGGCCCTTGATGAGAATACAAGACGATGTAAATAAAATGGCAACACCAAACCCTCTCCCATAATCTATAATCTATCTGTGTGACTTTGTACTTTGGTCGGCTTTGAATGGAATGTGTCAATCAAATTTAGATTCGAATAATCACTTAACCAGGTTATATGATTATAAATTCTTAATATTCACTATCATCATTCAAGCTTTGTCCCATTTTAATGGGGTTGGATAAATGGCTCTCATTTTATCATTCTGTTCATATTCATCATTAAATTACTTTCTTATTACTTTCACCCATTTTTTTTTTGGTTTTTATATTCTTCTCTCTCCCCACTACCTCCATTTATTTCTCTTTGTCTGGGGGACCATTTTGGATCACCATCCTGACTCCGTCCAATTATAATTCCATGTTTGAATTGTAGCAGAAGTGAAAATGGGTGGTGGAAAAGGATTCATAAGATCCACTTTGCCCCTGAAAAAGTGGAATGCAGAGAAAAACTTTATATTTAGCTGCATTTTTCTGTCAGCTCAATTGAAAATGGGATGACCAAAGGAGCTGGTCATTCTCATTATCCTTTAAATCATGAAATTCCTAGAAGTAAGCAAAAACTCTACTCATATAGTATCTAGCCACACATCTGGTAATATCTTCCATACAAGTTACTTAAATTCATGGGGAGATATTCCCAATGGGTGGCAAGATTCCCATGATTCCTCACCATTAAATGGGGTTCTAATGTTTAAACATATAGAAACTCCCCACCTCCTAGTAAATAGCATTTCAATAATGGATATACTYATCATGCGATACATTTCAATACTTCGAACTTCTTCTAACTGAATAAGAATGTGAGAAAGGTCCAAACTACGAGCAAGCTACTTTGAAAGATAGTGCCTTGTACACCTTGGGGTATTAGTATTGAACAAAAAGAGGAAGACTTTTGATAATCAACTTATTGACCATTTCATAAACAGAAAAGAGATATATAATACCTCTTTAATTTTTTAGGAAAATGACTGATCAATCAATGTCAGAATTTTCTAATTTAATCCCACAGGGAAATGAATCTTGACCGTGTATTAATGTCAAATTCACGGATAGGATGCGATTTGGGGGGCTGTAACTCATAATGTATACTTAACCCTAATTTTTTCTACTTCTCAAGTAGGGTATCTACCCATGATAATGATGCCATCAACGATGCTTGGAATGAATATTTTCTGAGGCAATGATACGTGTTATTTATTTGTCTTCCTGGAATTAATGCACTCTTTTAGGGATGAGAACATATCGGTCTCATTGAACTCCAAATCGAAGCAGCTGCATTATGCAAGGAAGGAAGGCTCTTTAGTCCAATAGGCTTTGAAATGAGGAGAAAAAGATCCTTTTTGTCTTTTTCGAAACAAATTAACACGGAGGGAGAGGGTTATGACATATTGTAGGGAGGTGTCTAAAAGAGACCATACGAAAGAGTGAAAGTCAGTTAGTACAATTCAAACACGGATGAAGTATATGGTTGGTTACTTTTACGTTTATTGATGGTTCCACATAGGTGCTCGTCAGCAAATGTATTAATTGCATTTGTGTGTATGGAAGTTTGTAAAAGTAAATTTCGATTTCTATGCGTCTCTCCCGTTTCAGGAAGCTTCACTTTGGAGCTTCTTGAAATGGATAGGCATTTATTGGTATTTTACTGATGTAGTGTCTAATGACGCCTATGTGTCATAAACGCTCTTATTAAATGTGTTTCTCGGTGTAGGTATATAGTGCCCACCCAGTTTCTCAGAGCATAGTAAACACCATATTGATACCACATAGATGCCTGCGATCAGTCCGTAGTTAATTTTCCCTCTGTTATGAACCCACAATGCATCGCAAGTCTACAATGAACCCACARCACACATCGTAGCACCGCGATAAACCTGTGGTTCATCTTACACTCTCGACAAGTCCATTCACAGCTCGAACCAAGACAAATCGGAGCTGAACCCGCGATGAGGTTCACAGGCACCAGGCCTTGCGATAAACCCTTAATCACCGCAGTACCTTACAGTCCATTTAGTTGCTAAGAAGGGATGGGATGATAAGGGATGGGATGAGAAGGGAAATTTTATTTTCTCATTTTGGCATTCTGGTGTTTGATTGCTGAGAAGGGAAAATTACTATTCATCGTCTTCCTTCGAACTCAAACCAATGGCGTGGATGAGGTGAGTTCCAATCTCCCCCTCATTAGTAAAAGAAAAATGCCCAGAAAAAATTAACAAATAATAATATATTTATAAATCCATACTTCAGCAGCATGTAGGAAGGGTTTCTCACCTTCAAAGTTGCAAAGGATACAAGGGCGAAGCAAGATCTGGAGTTGTTCTCACTACCTCCAATCTTCACCCCAACGAGAAAACGTATAAAAATAAAATAAAATAAAGTAAAAAGAATAATTGGGACCTAGTTTAACAAATCTGAGGGAAGAGAAACATATCTCATGGAAAAAACTGATCCAAGGGAAGAAAACTCTTACCTTGA